ATGGGCTTTTTTGTAGTCTTGACAATTAGCGATGATGAAAAGAAGCTAAAACTAAAAATAGCTATAGTAGAATAGAAACTAGTAAGATTTGGGGTACAAAATATTTATATTTTTATTCATTCGCTATTTTTATACATATTGAAAACTTCATATAAAAGAGTGCAAAAAAAAAAAAATAACAAAAAGCAAAATAGCTTAAATATATTAAAAAAATGGCTTTAAAAGAGCCAGCATCGAAAATGGCCAAATTGCCAGCACTGATCATTTCAGATTAACTTGATTTATCGACACTATCGATTATTTGTACAAACAATTTCACAATGGAAACGGACTTTTTTAAAAATCCTGCTATCCTCCTCCTCTAGTTCGCGCTTGGTGATGCCTCGCATTTTATCCTGTCTACATGTATTTTGCGAGGACTGTCTGCAGAATTTGCTGGTTAACAAGGAGGCGAACTCGGCCAACTCACCGGCTGCCTCCCTCTCGTCGGCGGCCAGCTGCTCATCGGCCTCATTTGATGGCAGCGATCATCAGCAACGACTGCTCGAATGCCCCGTTTGCAAGCAGCAGACACAGCTGGGCAGCAAGGGTATCAAGGGTCTGACCGTTGACTATATTGTGACCAATATACTGGATCTGTCCAATCTCGAATCGGAGCATATACCGTGCACGTCGTGCAAGAGCAAAGAGGAGGCCATTTCCCGTTGCAATGATTGCGCCAACTTTTTGTGCAACGGCTGCGATAATGCACACAAATATATGCGCTGCTTTGAGAACCATCAGGTGGTTCGCATCGAGGATCTGCAAAAGAACGTGCAGAACGACAAGCTCATCATACACAAGCCCATCTGCTGTCGCCAGCACATTAACGAGAATCTCAAGTACTATTGCTTTACATGCCAGGTGCCCACCTGCAATGATTGTCTGCTTAGCGAGCACAAGGGCAACGACCACCACTACGAAACGGCATTAATTGCCGAGCAGTCGGTTCGTGCTGAACTCGAGCAAACCATTACGGACACATTGAAGAAGGCACAATATTGCAACGATGCTGGCGGCAATCTGAGCAGCGCCCTGACCGAACTTCAATCGCAGCACGATCATGTGCGGCAGCAGATCGAGGATGCGTACAAGAGCTACAAGCGAATGCTTGAGCTAATTCGTGATCAATTGCTCACCGAATTGGGGCGTCTGCATTCGGAGCGTGAACTTAAAATCATGGATCTAATGCAGAGTCTGGAGAACAATATGGGACGCTTGCAACAGGCCTCACAGTTCGGTCAACGTGCCATGGAGAGGGCCAATGCCGTTGAGTTTCTGCTACTGAAGCCAGTTATTAGTGCGCAGTGCGCCAACCTCATGGAGCAGACGCCCCAAAGTGATGCCAACTATCAGCTGCAGTTTGAGTGCATGCCCGAGAAGTTTGAGCGCTTCGCCCGCGAAATGTTTGGCAAATTTCGCACCGAGTCAACCAAGTGTACAACAGCAGCTGGTACTGCGATGTCCGAAACAACGCCCTCGCCGACGGCCACGCCCAAGCAACATACACCGCCACCGGCTAATTTGGCACCAGGCTGTCATGGCGTTGGCTTGTTGCCCGCCGGTGTGCGCAGCTTGACCGGCGTAGGCGGCAGCGGCAACAGCAGCTCCGTGCAAGGACGACTAAGCTCGGCGGCGGTATTCAGTCCCATATCATTGCCATCATCTTTGCAAAGCTCATTCGATGGCGACACCTCCGTGATGACCAATTATTCCATGATGAGCACATTGCCGCCAGACTCGCCGCCGCAGCTGCAGCCACCGCTACAGCAACAGCAGCAGCAACAGCAGCAGCAACAACAGCAGCAACAGCAGCAGCAGCAGCAGGCCTTGCAACAAGTGCAACAACAACAACAACAGCAGCAGCAGCAGCAGCAGCAGCAGCAGCAGCAGCAGCAACAACAGAAGCAGCAGCAACAGGGCCTGCATCAACAGCCACAAACGCTGCCCGTGACCCAGCAAATGGCACAACTGGTAACGCCTCAGGGCATTGTCCAGGTGCAGCAATCGGCCGGACATGTTAATCTCAATGCCGGACCCAACAATGCTGCTGTCGGCATGGGTCTGGGCGCACTCAATGGCATGGGCATGAATGCTGGCGGTCCACCACCACCGTTCAGCATGCTCGAATATAATCTGTCGCGTTTGGCTAGCCTCACTGAGAGCATACCGGATACTCTTAACGATACTTTGGCCGTTGGCAGCTCTAATTCTGTGGCTGTGGCCGCTACCTCCGGCGCCGCCGGCGGCGCTGCGTCCCATCATCAGCAGGCGGTCATTCCCTCCTCGGCGGTTACGCCTACACAGCCCATTACACTGGCCGACATTTTGTCGGGTGATCAGCGTGCCCTTAACAATCTGCAAGCTCTGGCCAAGCTGGGACTCAACAACAATGGTAAGCAATACCTCCAAATCTTGTTCACATGCTTGCTTACCATTGCACACACATTACATCCTTGCGGACAGTATACATAATGCCGAAATGTTTGGATCTTTGACAGGTTATAGAACATTTCAGCTAAATGAAAATTCAGAACATTTGGAATTAAAAAACAAATACCCATCCAGAGTCATGCAGTTGATACATTCCTATTATAATCAGTTACAAAAAATGTATGGGCAATCCTTTGTGACCGACAGAATGAGACATCTCTGAATGACAACGTGTTTTGGTATATATACCTGTCCGTATATGTCCGTCGAGTTTATTACACTTTTGCTTAACTCTTCCAGTCCATAAAAATTACGAAAGATTTACATATGTCAATGTCTGAGAAACAATCAATATAATATAGATTTCTAGATCTCCGCTCATTTAGGCTCACTTTACCCCTATTTCTCTTACTCTCACTCGCTCTTGCTCGTCGTGTCATTATCTCTCTCTGTCTTTTTTATCTGCCTGCCTCTTCACACGTGCTTTAGCACTTTAATATCGCCTTTCTCTGCGATTTTCATAATCCTACTTAAGCTCAGATTTAATCTGCTCTTACTCTCTTAATGCTAATCTTGTCCATTCTCATTTACTCTCATATTTACCCTCATGTTAAACAGGCGCTTCTATGCGATTTTATATCTTCAAGTGAGGTGTTCAAAAATTAGTTTTTGTTTAAAAAATCTATCGAAGATCTCAATATTTGATTGTGTAATGCGAATTGTTTGCAAGTTTGTAATCTTCGGTTTACCGAAAGAGCCATTCTTTGTTTTTGTTTTTTTTTTTCTTTTTCTTTTTATTTTTGTTTGTTTTGATAACTTTTAAGTTTTTTCCTTTTTTCAACAATCAACACACACACCAACAACAAATCCAAACACTCCCAAATACCACCCAACACACAGATGAGCATCACGATTTGTTGTCGTCGAACGGAAGCTCAACGTGCCTTGATTATATTTTAACAGATTTCTGCATGCCGGCAGCCACATCGCCCAGCCTGCAGACATTGAATCCGATCGTTGGCGGCGTCGAGGAGATGGGCCTCAATAACTTCCATGCCGTGGCGCCGCCCGGCACCACCAGCGTTGTAACGGGCCGCAACAAGGCCACGCCCATGCAGATACGGTGCAAATTTGGCTCACTGGGCACCGCAAAGGGACAGTTCAATTCACCGCACGGCTTTTGTCTGGGCGTCGATGAGGAGATCATTGTCGCCGATACCAACAATCATCGGATCGAGGTCTTTGACAAAATGGGCGCACTCAAATTTCAATTTGGCGTCGCCGGCAAGGAGGAGGGCCAACTCTGGTATCCACGCAAAGTGGCTGTCATGCATAACAATGGCAAATTTGTGGTCTGCGATCGCGGCAATGAGCGCTCGCGCATGCAAATCTTCTCCAAATGCGGACACTTTATGCGTAAAATTGCAATCAGGTGTGTGTGTGTATAATTGAATTCTTTTATATGTCAATCAATTTGCCAATCAATCTTCGTAGGTATATTGATATCGTTGCGGGCCTGGCTGTTACCGCCAAGGGTCACATTGTGGCCGTCGACAGCGTCTCGCCCACCGTCTTTGTCATCTCCGAGGAGGGCGAACTGGTGCGTTGGTTCGATTGCAGCGACTATATGCGTGAACCCTCCGACATAGCCATACGAGGTAAGTGGTAGCCTCTGGCAGCATCTGCAACATGTATTTATTTCTTCCAACATATATTCATTTCAAATTGCAGACAACGATTTTTATGTATGTGACTTTAAGGGGCATTGCGTGGCCGTTTTCCAAGAGGACGGCACATTCCTCTATCGCATTGGCAACGAGAAGGTTACCTGCTTTCCCAATGGCATTGACATATCCAACGCTGGCGATGTACTCATCGGCGATTCGCACGGCAATCGCTTCCATGTGGCCTGTTATTCGCGCGAAGGCGCGCTTCAATCCGAGTTCGAGTGCCCCCATGTTAAGGTTTGCATATGACGAATTATATTTTGTATTTATTTAAATATCAACTTACACTACATGTTCTTATATATTTAGCATTCAATTTTTGTACTCTTATCGCAATAGAATAGGGGCTTTGAGCAGTGCCCTGCACAAATATCAAAGGTTTTGTCCGTCATGCTGGCGAAGACGTCTTTCCGTAAAAAGCTAAATACTCAAATCTTCTAATATATACTCGTGTATATTCGCAGCAGATATTTGGAGATTGTTTAGTGATGACCTCTTCTAAAGATCAAGTCCATAATATTCGTGGCAAGCCCACTTGCTCATTGCGGTGCTTTTCCAGAGCTCGTCAGCAGCAAACAGTTGAAATTTTCAACTGAACTAGCTAGTATTAGCTTTGGTTTTGATTTCAATACTAATTCAATTGTTTGACCCATGCAGGTTTCACGGTGCTGCGGCCTGAAAATCACCTCAGAGGGCTATGTAGTAACGCTGGCCAAAAACAATCATCATGTGCTCGTCCTGAACACCCTCTATGTTCACTGATTGCAAATCAAAGCGCGCAACAATCGTCCAGCTGTCGATATGAACAAATACAACTACAAATACTCGTCGGGCAAGATATACGGATGTCGCAGACAGCAACAGCAGCATCTACAACAGCAATTACAACAGCAACTACAACAGCAGCAGCAGCAGCAACTACAACAGCAACAGCAACAATCAACAAGCAACAGCAACATCAACAGCAACAGGAACAACAATAGCATAATCAACAGCAACAGCAACATCACCAGCAACAGCAGCAGCAGCAACACCGACATGGAGCAACATAGCAACAATATGATTCGAGCTAAGCCGCCGCCTTCCATATAGAAAAGCTCGAGAAAAGGGTCAGCTCAGTACCGTTAAGCAGTGTAACAATGCAACACAATAATATATATATATATATATATATATATATATGGGGCAAATACGGGCGAAACATCTCGAATCTCGAACACACGTTTTAAGCAGAAGTGTTGTCATCGTACAACAGCAACAACCAACAACAAAATGCAACAATACTATTTTTGATCTCTAATTTAATAGCAACAACAAAAACAAAACAAAAAAATGATTAGCGCTACTGAAAAAAAAAAGAAAAAATATTAACAAACAAATCTATAACAAGAAACAAACAACTTTACTTAGTGTAAAAACAAAAACAAATGAATGGAAAAGAAAGGAAGAAATCTTCGCATATTTTTCAACACGTTTAACAAAAAAATGCTCTTGTTTAATTGTTTATTTTTTTTTTTTTAGTTATGTTCTTGTTAAAATTGTCATTACGACACGAAACACTAAATCACAAACATACAACACACACACACACACACACACAGAACAAACAACAACACTCCCACAACAAACACACACACACACACACACATAACACAACACAACACGACACAACACAACACAACACACACAACTACATGTTACTTATTATCTATTAATAGGCATATATATTGTTATATGGACCGATTAGCTTTTTTGTGCAAAACCCCTTCCAAAATCTTTTTTCGATAAAAACCAAAAACAAACACGCATATATTTTACATGCTATACATACATATATATATATATATACATATATATATAACTCATATATAATTATGTATGTATATATATATATGTGTATATATTCATTTACATGTATGCGGAAACGTGCCCTTTTTGTGCACATTTTCAAAGTGGACAGGAAAAACCAGGCAATAATGAACAACATCTAAAATTGTGTACAACTAACAGATATTTTAAATTTTAACGTAAAAATAAAAAACAAAAGTGTTTAGGTTTTTCCTTACTGCTGCTTATATAAGGTGATATTTATTTATATACGTATGTGTATGAATATAAAAAAAACAATATATTTAAAACAAAAATATCTTAAACAGACATATGTAAACTCCTATGACTATATGACTTTGCCATATATACATACATATGTATATACAAAAAAAATAACACATATATGCTGATTTTTGTCGCTGTGTATATGCGTCTATGTGGATATGTACATATATATATTTATATCAAACAAAAACAAAAGCGCATTGTGCGGCGTGTGTGGGTGCGTGTGTGTGTTTGTTATGGTGTGCTTGTGTTTGCGTGTGTGTGTGTTTGTGTTGCGTGTGTGTATGTGTGCTATATGTTCTCATTGTCGCGTTTGTGAGTGTGTGTTAGTAATAATAACAAAAATTTACATAAAAACTAAATGTAAGCTGACAAACCAAACGAAAAAGCTAACAATAACAAACAAACAACAAAAGCAACAAACTTGCAATGCATTAGGCCAACCAACTAAGTAAACAAAATGATAAATAAATCAATACTAATACTGAAATGGATGAAAGTAGGAGAGGAAAAAAAGAAAAACCATGAAAAAAACCAAAACACAAACAAAATAAAATAATTGTTAAGTTCTATATATATATTTACAATGTTAAAACGATATTCCTCTTGCTTATATACATACAAAAACAAACATATACATACGTGCGCATATGCCCACATACATATACATATACATATACTATATATAATATATTATACACATATGTATGTATATTAATATGTATAGACTCTATAGCACATATTTGGGGCATGTGCCATTTCTTTCCCGTTGTAATACAATATATAAGGCTGGTTTACTCCCAAGACATTATTATTTTTAAAAAACAAAAACATAACATACTATTATTATTATAATTATTATTATGATTAGTTATGTGAATATTATGACTTTGTTGTTCTTTATTCTTTACGATCGATTACAAATAATTTTTGTGAATTTTTTATTATGTAAAAATGGCAATTTATTTTTGACTATGTTCTAAGTGAAAAGAGATCATAATAATTATGATGAAATATTTAAGAGCGAAGCAACTTATTTTTTTATAGGCTGTAACACACATTTTATTATATACAACACACACAATACTTACACATACACACACACACACACACACACACACACACACAGACACACAGACACACACACTTAAACGCCTAGTGTATATATACAATACAATACATACACAATTAAACGTATCGAAGTGAATTGGTATATTGTAATGTGTATACAACCAGTTAATGGATTTAACTTTTAATATTATCTTTTTTTTTAATATAACAAACACTTGTTTAGTGATTCGTTAAACGCCGTTAAAATTGAATGTGTTTCATATGAATAACTTTAATCTTGTCATTTATTTAATTCTAGTTTTCCATGTACGTTATATGAAATATATATGTATATGTACATTTTGAACGCTATTTGCGTTTTCTTTAAACAGCAAACAAACAAACAAAAACAATAAGCAACAAACAACAAAAGTTCTAAACAACATTTTCACCGAATAATATGTTTTAAATCGTATTTTATTTGTAGAGCACAGCAGCAACAAAACAACTAAACAAAACAAAATTGTCGAAACAATTTATGCTTATACTATTTAATTATGTATAATTGTTTTTTTTTTTAATGTCCTGATTTTTATTTTATTTTTTTTCGTTAATACTACGTGTGAGGCTACACTTTATATTTATATACATATAAACATATATATATATATATATATATATATATGTATAAACCAAGAACTATAGCTATAGCTACACCTATTTGCATAAGTTTGTGAAACGCTTTTAATTGTCTTATGATTACTTTTATTTTGTATCTTTTTTTGTTGTTGTACAACTCTTAAATATTGAAATCTTCAAGCGACACACATCATATTATGATTATGAATTTCTATATACATTTTCTTTAATAAGCTAAGTTAAAAACAAACAAAAAGAAATACAAAAAAAAAAAAAAATATGAAGGTAACCTCCTCCCAAAGTTGTCGAAGAAATGTAAGAGAAAAAAGAAAATGCAATTTTTGTGAACAATTTGGCTGTTGAAATATAATTTTAATTTATATGCGTAAATACGTTAATGATTTTAGTTTACTATTTGATTAAGACGACATCATATTATATTATGTACAATAATTTTTTATGGTTTGACGAGCCCCGAAGGCGTCCTCCTCTCCAACAACAACAAAAAACAACAAAAATACTATTGTGCTTAGTGAATTTACTTAGATTTCTTATTTTCGTAAACTGTTGACTTTGCAGCTGCATTACTACAAAAAAAAAAAACAAAAAAACTAAATAAAAACACAAGATATATGAATAAACAAGTATTAAGAAAACACTACAAAAAAAAAAAAACAAAAAACAAAAAAAAAAAGAATAGCAGAAGCAGAAAAAACAACACAAATGTGAAATATGCCAAATTTTGTTAACTTTCTTCTTATTTGCGCCTTACATAGTCAACAAAATTCTGTGAGAAAAACAAACAAAAAACAATTCGAAACTCTTAAAGTTGTTATAAACGCTTTTGAAACTTAAAAAATAACAAAAACTTATTTAAAAAGCGACTTTTTACACTTTGTTTCTAGTTATTACGGAAAGCCTTCAAAAAGAAGAAAAAAAAAAAGAAATTGTAATTCCACACGCTTTTATTTATAACATTTACAAATTACTTTTTTTTTTTGTCTTTTTTAGTTTGAAGAGGAAGCAAACAGCAAAAACAAAATATTTTTGTTTCAAACAAAATAAAAATTCTTTAGGTTAAATTCAGATACAAAAAGAAAAAACAAAAAAACAAATACTAAAACTAAATAAAACATCCAAAAACAAATGATATTAAGTTAACGGAAACATGATTTTTAATGCAAAATGAATCTGTTTCAAGATAACCATAGAAAAGGAAGAGAAAGCAAGAGAAAGAAAGAAAGTAAACGTTAACTAATTGATTTCCTATTGCATACAAATTTATGAAAAAATGTGCTTAAGTTTAAATCAAATTTACAATTTAGTTGAGATTATGAACTAAAACTTTTTACATAACAATTATATATACATATATATATATATATGTATAAATATATATATACCATTTGTATGTGTATATGTATAACATTTAGCTAAAATATATACATATATAAGTTTAGCCAATGGTAAAGGCGGCAGGGTTGGTCGGCCATTGGGCGTGGCACTGCACATTAAACAAAATCAGCAAAAGAAAAATGAAAAACGAAAAAAAAAAACAATTGGATACTACACGAAACACCACATGCAAACATACTTAGGCCAGAGCAACTAGTCAACAGCGCATACGTCACATATGACACCCTAACGTAACGCCAAATAATCGAATGAAGTAACATTAGCATCACGCAACAGACTTAACGAAAATTAATTTGTGACCGTGACAAGAAAAACAATACTTACGTTACGTAACATGTAACGTAATACAAAACGTAACACGCGACGTACCACGTAACACAATGCGGAAAATTGAATGTAAAATTTACGTAGAATACTTAACGTGATGACGAACTTTTCCGTTAACGTATCAAACGTATCAGCCTTACGTTACGTAACGCATTGACGTCACGCCCCAATTTAACCAGCTCAGCCAACTCGTGCCAATAACATTTTTGAGGCCGTTCTTTTGTGGCTAAGCTACAAAAAAGCAAAAGAAAGCAATTCAAAAGAAGCGTAAACAAAAAAACGAAAACTGAACTAAGAAAAGGCATATTTTTTATTAAACTATTATTTAATAATTATGAAGGAAAAAAAAAGAAAAACGAAAAAAAAAAGAAACATAAATTGCTATTTGATTGCGTACAATGTGAGCAGAGTGAACGCTTTCCACCTATTTTCGGTTTTATTATATTATTCTTATACTTTATTGTGTTATATACTTTATAAATTTTGTGTTAATTAACAACTAAAGCAAACAAATCTTAACTTTATATACATTCTATGTACAACACTCAAGTCCTCAGTCACGTTATGTTTAATTATATGCTTTGTTTTCTATTTTACATTTTCGATTGGCATACCACAAGACACCAAAAAGTAAATGTATGAAACAAATATTAAATACAGAAAAAATAATAAAAAAAATATTAAAAAAAAAAACAAACAAAATCACATGTAATTCATATTTGATGAAGAAAATTTGAAGATGCTGCCAAAGATTTATTTTTTTTTTAAATATATACAATAAAAACGTGAAATGAAAGCAACAACAATTATTATATATATATATATATGGTATAACTATATTAACAACAACTATTATGTACGACGACAATGAAGCGTATTAATTTTGTTTATATACATATTATAATAACAACTAATAATAATAATAATAATAAAAACAAAGTAACGAAAATGAATATTGAGAATGAATTGTGACAAACGTAACGAAATATTTTCGAAGAACTTGCTCAGTTAGCAAATCAACGTACATACGTATATACCTAAATGCAAACATACAATACATTAAACTAATCTTCTACTAAACGATAACGATAACGATAACACTAACGCAAACGATAAACGATAAACGATGACAAGAATGTTTGCAATCATGATGCAGCAGCGTTTACGTTTCCAATTACATTTGTTAATTAATTTGTTCCTCAATGCGACGCTTACAAAAACAAAATACTAAAATGATAACAAAAAAACCTAAATTAGTCAAAACAGAGTTGAATGCAAATTTCAATATTTGTTAAAAACGGTTGGTTGAATGTCAAATTGCGATTGAAGAAATCGTTGGAATTCGATTATTCAAAATGGAGCATATAAACACTATACATATACGATATACATATGGAATCGGGAGTATATAGTATATATAAGATCGAAATCTATACATGCATATACACACATACATATACACATAAGTATATATATATCTATATAGACATACATATGTATGCATATTCCAATTAGATCGCACCGACTTCAGCTCGGTCAAGTAATCAGTCAGGTTGGCGTGGATTTAGTTTAGTTACTTTAACTACTAACAACACACACACTCACCCACTCACACACACATACACACCATCAAATGCCTGTGTACACTTTGAAGAAAAACAAACATTTTTGAATATTCTCTCCATTTACAACACTCGAAAACTAACAACACCCACCCTCTAGCCCCCATATTTGCCTAGTTGCGTGTCTCATTTATGTAGATTCATGTCTTATATTGTGCATTTAGTTAAATTTATTAATCAACTAAAAACAACAACAACAACAAAATGTCAAACAAATGATGTAAAACAAAATCCAAACGCTTTATACATCAAATTATTTTAATATATATATATATATATGTATATTAAAAATATTGATAAATGAAAAAACAAAAAACAAACACAAAAAAAAAAACCAAACATATATCTATATATACATATACAACATATACAAAATATTATGCATTTTATTTGAAATATTTAAATGTATTAGCAAAAAAAAAAAAATGGAAAAGTTGAAACTCTACTCCTAAAAAAAACCAAAAAAAAAATTATAAAAAAAAACAGTAAGAAGAAGAACGACAAACACACAGCAGACTATAACACACAGTTAAGCGAATGCTCTATAAACGATGGCCACGCCCATTTGCTGAATTCTGGGCGTGGCAAGTAAGGTACTAGCGATGGAAGCGATGCTAACAAATGATATAAATATACACACAATCTATATACATGCATCTATGTACATGTATATACACATGTATGTGTGTATATATATGTACATATATATATATATATATTTAGCAGGTATACATACATATATGTAATACAATAATGAGCAGAAGAAAAACAATCTAGTGTACGTCAATTTTTTGATGATATTTTTCGCCTTATTATAGACAAACAAAAATATATATTATTAAACAAACAAAAAAAAAAAATGATGAGAAATCGAATCAAATCTTAAGCAGGAAAAAACTATGAGACGAAAATCGAATATGCAGACAGAATGTGAGGCTAAAGGTGTGCGGTTTTTTTGCGGGGCAAAGAAATTGGATTGTTTTTGATGGAAGCACGACTTAAGCATATGTATATATATATATATATATATATATATATATATTTTTTTTTTTGGTAAGCAGAACATAACGAAAAGCAATCAATTAAATAGAAACCTTAAAAGCAACAACAACAAATCCAAAAAAAAAAACAGCAAAAATCGTTACAAATTGTGTAATCAAAAGGATGTTAACAAAATCAGAGCATGGCAAATAATTTATGCATATATATATATGTATATGTATAAATAAATAACTTTTTAACGCAAATCAATTAAAAATAGTTATGCAAGACAGCGCAGCATTCAACATTTAAACAAAACTTAGCTAAACTTAGCAACAAGCTAACTAAAAGCAGCAACTAAAACTTAAATTATTTCACTAAAACATTGCTTTAAATCTTAGTTGTTTTAGCTATTTAAGATGAGCACACAAAACACACTAACAAATGGCAATTGCCACGCCCCTCACCGCCCCGCCCGCCCCAATATATTATATGGGCGTGACAAGCCCGAAACACAGCATTCAGATTCAAAGACACAAAGTTCCTCGCGTCAATAATAATTCTTATTATTTCTCCTTTTTATATATATTATTATATAGAGAAATATATATATATATATATATTTATAGGTTCTATTTATTATGATCGTTTTGTATATATATATATATTTAAAATTTGATTTTGTTTTGAAATATAATTTATAAACTTATTTTTAAGCCCAATTATTTTAGAACATTTTTTTATTGCAAATATACAAAAAATAAAAGTTCATTAAATTGAGTTGTGTTCAACTGAAAATAAAAAATATTAAAAAAAGATATATAAAATACAGTAAATTTAAAAATATATAATAATATTTATTTTTTCAATATTGTATGGCACTATTTGCGCTTTAAATTTTAATAATGCCGCATAATATTGAAATAATAAATATGCTTGAACAAAAAAAAAAAAAAACAATATATAGATACATTTCTTATCAAGCAGATTTCATTTTTTATTTTTAATTCTATTTGATTTTTTATAATTTTTTAAATATTTAGGTAATTTATTTATATGCCTCTTCAATTTAAATTTACAGTGTAAATTTATCTATATTTAATCAAGCATATTTATCACATCAATATTGAGTTTTAAATTGACTTTATCTTATTTATGATTTTATTACTAAATCTGTTTGATTTATTATCATTTTTATTTGATTTATTTATTTATCTCCAGTTTTTCCAATATTTAATAACATGATTTAAGTTTTTATTTTAAATATTGCTCTAAATTTAACTTTATTTTTTTTCAATTTATTTATTTTTTTTTTATACATTTTCATTTGCTGTAAATTTAAATATTTTTCACAGCTTTCACGATTATTATTTGAAAATTTAATAACATTATTCAAGTTTTAGTTTTAAAACATATCTGTAAATTGATCTATACATATATATTTCTGTTTTAAATTTTTGTTCAACAGTTTTCGAGTTGCACCTGATAATCGTATATAGACGAAAGGCAACGCCTTTTTGAACTGTGCCAATTGTTGTACGTCCTGCTCCGACTTGCTGCTAGCTCGTATTTTAAGGATGTTAGGCTTAGTCTTGGCCAAATGCTCGGAGCTGAGAGAACACAGTTGCCCCAAGCAAGCCAGATATCAACATTTTTGTAACATTTTGTAACAAAATATCAAAGACAGCAGCTAATTAGCGCTAGAATCGCTTGTGAACTATATAATTTTATATATATTCATATATATCAATCTATATATATATATATATGTATATATATATATATATGTATATATATTTAATGTTGGCATTTTAAAATATCCGAAAGGTTTTTTTGTCTAAATCTAACGTTTCAGCTGTGTTTATTAGCATTAGAATAGATATCGTATACTTTAGGGTAATTATTTTTGCAGCTTTCAAGCATTTTACTAGAGTTCTATATAGAGTTTTTGAATACTACAGACACTCTTTTTCTAGCACACGACACATGCTCTCCCCCCCCAATCTCTCTTCTCTCTCACATCGGACTGTCTTCAGTTAATATTCCGTTTGATTTGTTGCGCTTAAAGCCTTGAACCTAAACATAAAAGTAACAAGAAATAAAATTAAAAATAAAAAGAAATAAAATTTATAAATGGATGCTCTTAGCGAGTTGTTGTGTTAAATTTGCGTACATATCAGTGAGAATTATTTACATAATGATTATAAAAAGCTATAACATTTATATCGATACGATTACACTATGTATGTAG